GAAGAAGATAATGAAGGAGGGTGAAGGATGGGCTACACCAAGAGATGGAGATGAAGTTTTAGGTAAACTTCTGCTCTCTTGTAATCATAAACTTGTTGAAGCTAGGGAAACATCTGCTCTTGTAATCATAAACTTCTGCTGTATAATTAACTCTAAATCACACTTTGACTTTTATAATGAGTGGTTTATCTGCAAAATAGTAATGCATTTCCGTCTCCGCAGTGAAGTATGAGGCAAGGATTGAGACTGGAATGCTTGTCTCCAAATCCGAGGAAGGTGTTGAGTTTCATGTAGGAGATGGTAAGTGTATTGTGTCGATAACATTTTTCTGATGTTAAATTTCTTGAAATTTGAAACACAAGTTGTTGATTCGAAAAAGGGTTTTTATTTCATTACATGATAGAGTAAACCTAAATTTATATTTTTATTGAAAAAACGATGTTATTTAGTGTTTATTTTTAAATTAGAGTACAAAAATAAAATAAATACTTTATTTTTCTCAATAATTAATCCATTTATAAACATAAAATAAATAGTCGAGAAAAATAACTTCTTCAAATGTTATCTGGAATGCAATTGTGCAAGTTTTTTTATTGTTATGTATTTCACTTTATTTTAAAAATATATTTTTTTATTAATACGAAGCCAAAATATTATAACAAAATGCCTCCTTGATATTTGGACTAAATAAATAAAGCATTTAGAGTTAGTGGGAATGTCATTAGCAAAAACTGAATTGCCAATAAAAAATATGCTATTTATGTTAATATTAGAAGTTTTCTTGAAAAGGAAAACTACTATTTATATTATTATCAGGAGTTTTTAAAAAATTTAAAACTTGTTCTAAATCATCAAATTCAAAGTTGTATATTTATTAGATTAACTTATTGGACAATGTTTAATAGCTATGATTTAGAGGGTATGTAGCTGTGAATATTTTTTAAAATATTTTTTATATGGAAAAATATTAAAATAATATTTTTCATTTTAAAAAAATTATTTTTAATATCAATTGATTTAAAAAATTTTAAAAAACAAATAAAATACGACGGAATTGATTCTTTTACGCTGCTTTTCGGTTTAGGCTATCTATGTCCTGCCTTGAGCAGAGCAGTGAAGACAATGAGAAAGGGTGAGAAAGCAGAGCTAGCAGTGAAACTTTATTGTAAGTTTGTTCACTTTTTTCCTAGCTAGATAATTTTCCTTGTTCCTGGACGATTGCCTTTCTTTCGGTATCTTCTTCTTTCTGCTCTGTTCATTAATTAATCTAAGATCATTTTTCGTCAGATGGCTTCATTCAAAAAGGAAATTTAGCTCCTGACATTGAAAGTAACATTCCACCTTATTCTAATTTAACCATCCAACTCGAGCTTGTATCCTGGAGAAGTGTGACCGACGTCACAGGAGATAAGAAGGTCCTTAAAAAAATTGTAAAAGCCGGTGAAGGATTCGATCGTCCGACCGAGGGATCCCATGTGAAAGGTAATCCCCCACATGACTATTATATTTCAGATTAGCAGGTCACAACAATGGTGTAATCTCGTATGACCTGCCTGTGTTTGCAGTGACATATGTTGGCAAACTTGAAGATGGAACAGTTTTTGACAGGAAAGGTACTAATGGAGAGCCATGTGAATTCGTAACTTTGGAAGGTATTCTGCAATTTACGCATCCCTATTTCTTGCAGAAATGAGTTATAAGCATCAATTTTTGTGTAACATCAATACATTTTTGGTCTTTACGATTCCAGAACAAGTAAATGAGGGTCTAGACAGAGCCATTATGACTATGAAGAAAGGAGAGCATGCCACAGTGACCGTGGATGCCAAATATCTCCATGGCCATGACATTTCAGGAATGCTTCCTGCAAATTCCAGGCTTCATTATGAAGTTGAGCTGCTTGATTTTATTAAGGTTATTGTTCAAACTGCTTAAACTTGTTTAAGTCTCGGCTTTCTGACAAATGCTCAAAGAAGACATTGTCACAACTCTGACCTTCGCGCAGGAGAAACCATTCTGGAAAATGGATACACATGAGAAACTAGAAGCAAGTGAAAGGAAGAAGCTAGATGGCAATGTGCTATTCAAGGCAGGAAAATTCTGGCGTGCCTCTAAGAAATACGAGAAGGCAAGTCCGAATGCAATGAAACTGAGAAAAATACATCACCCCTTTAAGATTTTACTATCATTTTCAGTATATAAACTGCAGAATTTTCTTAACTACGAATTCCAGGCTGCAAAATACATCGAGTTCGACCACTCTTTCACTGATGAGGAAATGTGCCTCGCAAAAAGCTTGAGGCTATCATGTTACCTGAATAACTCAGCTTGTAAGCTTAAATCAGGGGAGTTCCTTGAAGCTTCAAGGCTATGCACTAAGGTTTATTTTCCTCAAATTAATTAGCAAAAAAACCCCATTTAGCTATCTTTTTTCCTCCATAAAAACCATGTTTCATCCACTACAGGTTTTAGAACTTGATCCACTCAATGTCAAAGCTCTATTCAGACGATCGCAAGCATTCTTGAAAACATCTGAATTAGAGAAAGCTGAGGCAGATATAAAGAAAGCTCTAGCCATTGATCCAAACAATAGGCAAGCGTACAAGCCAACATATTTAGTTTGTCTCTGTTTTTTTTCTTTTTATAATTATCTTTCTCCTTGTGATAACAGAGAAGTGAAACTGGAGTACAAGGAGCTGAAGGATAAGCAAAGAGAGTATGAGAAACATCAAGCTGAGCTCTTCAGCACCATGGTTTCAAGGAAGGGTTGATCAAACTTCAAGTCATACATGTGTACTGATATAAATATTTTTTTTTATTTGATTAATATAAAAAAATGTAGAAACAAAAAGATATCTGTTAATATTTTTTGCTATATTTTATCTTTTAAGATGATAATGCTTTCCCTCCTTTCCATCTAAAATATCAATATTACTCCTTCAAATTAATTTAATATTTGATGTTAATTATGAACCTTTATTCAATAACAAAAACATCAAGCACTATTACAAGTTATTTTTTAATATCAATACTCTATCTATTTATTAAATCCAATATCCACGAATCATAATATTTTTGCTCAATTTAATACTTTGTTTTTTATTTAATTTATAGGGTATTTATAGCAAAAAGTGAAATGCCAATAGCGGAATCCATGAAGGGGCCATGGGAATCTACCCATCTGGGCTTAGGTCCACTAGACTGCAGATGGGCTTGAAGCATTCAATGGAAATGTGGCCTTTTCTTTTTTTTATTTCGTTAAAGAATAAAAAATTATATTTTTTTAATATGAAAAAATTTATTCAACATTATTACACAAAAAATAAAAAAAATGCTACTTGTGTTAATATTAGGAGTTTTTTTTTAAGGAAAAATGCTATTTATATTATTTATGTTATCAGTGAGAGTTTTTCTTAATGGAAAACTGATATTTATTTTATTTATGTTATTATTGGGAGCTTTAAAAAAAAAAAAAACACCCTTGACTAATAATAAATAAATGTTATTATTAGGGTCATCCTCTCTTCATTTTAAAAGGGTGGATGGTGTTAGGTACTTCCGGCGGGCCACCGTGGTCCTTATCTCTCACTGATTTTATTTTTTATTTTTCCTTTCCTTCCTCTTTTAAGCTATGATTTTTTTTATTTTTTTATTTTGTTAATGTCACGATCCATGGTTTGATAACGATGCATGATAGTTGCCAGCATCACAAGAAAATTCTGGCCTACCTACCCCCCACCAAACAAGCTGGGTCCCTCGAGGCCTTGACCCTTCACCATCCTCGCCCATTTTATACCAAATTCACCATCCAAATCTTTTTTATTGTTGTTTTTTCTTGGTGGATTTAGACCACGTTCGAGTCCAATCTTGCTGAGGGTTTACATTATCGAGTCAATCTATTGAGTTAATTTTAAAATAATATTTTAGATAGTTTTTTCAAAACAGAATTATTTTAAATATAAATTTTAAAAAATTTAAAGTAATTGATTGATTGACTTTCATTTAAGATTTCCTAGTAATGTTTGACTTATTAAATTACCTGAACTTAATATACAAAATGATTTAAAAACAGATCTAATCCAAGCTAGATTATTTAGGAGTAGGATTAAAATTATGTTTTTTAAATTTAAAAAAAAATTGCTAAAAATTATTTTTTTTATTTTTTCTAATTATTTTAATATATTGATTTAAAAAAAATTAAAATTAAAAAATATATTATTTTAATAAATCTCTAAATAAAAAACCCATTAAAACGACATTTATTATCACAATTTCAAACCTAAAATCGTACACTGTCTCGCAGTTAAAAGCACTTTTAAATTACATAATATTAGTAGATAACATTATGTGACCCGTAATTATAAAAATCTATAGCAATTTGCCTCTCAATTATGACAAACCTTCTAACCTATCTTATTCTTAATTACAAACCTGTGGGCTGTGAGAAATGAAGCGAATGGTCTCCCACTTCACCAACTTTTGATTCCTCCTCCTTTACTTGTTGAAGTCTCACTTCACCAACCACCAGATACTGATAACAAAACCCACTCTGCTATCTTTCCACCGAGAGTGAAGTCACGCGCCACCGTTCTTGACCACGTGGGACATTTTAATTGGTCAATGTTTCAAGTGACACCTTTTTCCCCTCCCTCTCCTATGATGGGCACTATAAGCTGCAGAAGCTAAGAGTCGAATATCGTCCCTCATCTTCTTAGACTTATTCATTTTAAACCCTTTAAGTTAGATCAAACTCACCACTTTAATTTCAATGAAAGGTATTCTTAGCTCGTGAAAAAACTCAATTATTAATTAAATAACTTGAATGAACACCTGAAATTGGATTTATATGAAAGTAAAAAGGGTTTATTTGATCCAATTTAAAGTAAGGTACTGAGTTGAAATTTTTGGAAATTAGAGGGACCATGAAATTATTTTTAACAAGAAGTAAAATCCGCTCACCAACTCCCTCCCTCGTAAAGACCAACTCCTATCCTACAATTTATATTCTGCCAAGGCCCTTCAGAAAAATTAGATCCCATCTCTTCCTTTTTTTTTCCCTCTCCACAATGAATCTCCTTCTGATTCCGATATCTTTCATCACCCTTCTCTTGACATACAAAATCTACCAACGTCTACGCTTCAAGCTCCCACCAGGGCCAAGGCCATGGCCAATAGTAGGCAACCTTTATGACGTCAAGCCGGTGAGGTTCCGGTGCTTTGCAGAGTGGGCTCAGGCATATGGTCCTATCATCTCAGTTTGGTTTGGTTCGACTCTTAACGTGATTGTTTCGAATACAGAATTGGCAAAGGAAGTGCTCAAGGAAAATGATCAACAGTTAGCTGATAGACATAGGAGTCGATCAGCTGCCAAGTTTAGCAGAGACGGTAAAGACCTTATATGGGCTGATTATGGACCTCACTATGTTAAGGTTCGAAAGGTTTGCACCCTTGAGCTTTTCTCTCCCAAAAGACTTGAAGCTTTGAGGCCTATTAGAGAAGATGAGGTTACTGCCATGGTTGAATCAATTTTCAATGACTGCACTAATCCTGGTAAGCTTTTCTTAGTCCCTATTTCTTCGACTTTTTTTTTTGGAATTAGTATCTGTTTTTCCTGAGGATTTATTCTTTTAGCCATAATAACAAAATTATTACAACCAGCCCATAATCCAGGTTGTTTGTTTTTTAAATTAAGACAAAAATTAAACTGGGTAGGTCGACAACTCAGATTTTATCGAATTAACTCTCACCAAGTTTTTTTAAAATCCAGTCCGGTTTAGATTTTGATTCAACCCATCTAGCCAACAGCTGCCCGAACACCCACGTTAATCTAAAAAAAAAACTACAATCACATAATTATGACATTTATATTTGCTCTCTGCTTTATCAGTTCTTATAGTTCCATTAATCGAACATCTTTGTAAGGTTGTTGAAAAGTCACACAAGTAGTTGTGGGTTTTCATCTTCTATTTTCACTGTCAAACATTTTGTCCGATTAGAACGATCTATATATATTTGTATAAACAAGTACTAAATTTTTGCTGGCTTTCTTTGACTTGGTATCATATTTTTGTCTTGTAATTAGTTAATGGTTGGGTCGGCAGAACTTCCGGGATGTTCTCTGCATGTCAAGTTTTTGTCGTGTAATGAGTCTTTGACTGAGATCTATTCGTATTGCAAATTTGCCCATAAAAGGCCTTGAGCTGTTTAATGCTTTTAATGATTTGTTTGTTAGCACTTTAATATTCTTCAACTCTCACCCACTTCCACTCTGTGCTTCGTTTCACGTTTTGCTGATCCCAAAAACAAAAAAATAGTCCTTTTGTTTTGGGCTTTGTTGTTGTTGTCGTCGTCGTCTTAAATGTTAATCAGCTTGAAGTTTTTCTTATTCTTTTTTTCATGGTTAACTGCTCTGGTTTGAAAAATGATCTTGTTCGTTGGGTCCTGGGGTTAATTCGTTGGTCACCGAGTTAACATGGAGCAATTATTTTATTAAAACTGTGTTGTTTTTGTTTTTTACTTTGCTATGCTATTTTCTAAAAGAAAAACATTGACCTGCAGAAAACAATGGAAAAACCTTGATGATGAAGACACATTTGGGGGCAGTTGCATTCAACAATATTACAAGGCTAGCATTTGGGAAGCGATTCGTGAATGCCGAAGGCGTTATGGATGAGCAAGGGCTAGAATTCAAGGCAATTGTATCCAATGGACTTAAGTTGGGTGCATCACTTGCAATGGCAGAGCACATTCCATGGCTTCGTTGGATGTTTCCGTTAGAGGAAGATGCATTTGCCAAGCATGGGGCTCGTCGGGACCGGCTCACTAGAGCTATTATGGATGAACATACCCTTGCCCGGCAGAGTGGCGGTGCCAAGCAGCATTTTGTTGATGCATTGCTTACATTGAAGGAGAAGTACGACCTTAGTGAAGACACAATCATTGGACTCCTTTGGGTAACTTTCTGTAGTTTCAACTTTTGTTAAAGTAAAAATAATGTATGTTTTTGTTTTTTCCTTTTTTTGTGATATATGGTAGGTTTCTAAGGTATTAATTTTGTATGGCACACCATGCGCAGGACATGATTACTGCGGGCATGGACACAACTGCAATCTCAGTAGAATGGGCAATGGCAGAGCTGATCAAGAACCCAAGGGTGCAACAGAAGGCTCAGGAAGAGTTGGACAGTGTTGTTGGATTTGAACGTGTCATGACCGAGGCTGATTTCTCAGGCCTTCCTTACTTACGATGTGTGGCCAAGGAGGCGCTAAGGTTGCACCCACCAACACCACTTATGCTCCCGCACCGTGCCAGTGCCAATGTGAAAGTTGGTGGCTACGATATCCCTAAGGGATCAAATGTTCACGTCAATGTATGGGCCGTAGCTCGAGATCCAGCCGCCTGGAAGAACCCCTTAGAGTTCCGGCCAGAGAGGTTCTTGGAGGAGGATGTTGACATGAAGGGTCATGATTTCAGGCTACTTCCATTTGGTGCAGGAAGGAGAGTGTGCCCTGGTGCACAACTTGGTATCAATTTGGCCACATCCATGCTGGGTCACTTGCTGCACCATTTTTGTTGGACCCCTCCTGAAGGAATGAAGCCAGAGGAAATTGACATGTCGGAAAATCCTGGGCTGGTCACTTACATGAGGACTCCATTACAAGCAGTGGCCACTCCTCGGTTGCCTACACATTTGTACAAACGTGTTGCTGTTGATATTTAATTTGGTAATTTGATGTCAATTTTCTGATTAGGCTTTGGATTGTGAACTACGAAAGAGTTGGAAAATATCAAGAAATCTGTCAAAAGTGAGGACTGACGACCAAATAAAGCACTATGTTATATGAAGGTACACAATGTTGTGTCCTTGTGTTGGATATGAACAATTGTAACACTTCTTCTATCAATTTCAATGTTCTTGCAAGGTTTTTGAATCTCCTTCAGTCATCATCATCAACCTTGAAGGCTTGCTCCAACCTTCACTTTGTTAATTGGGGTAGACTCCAAGATCAGCTATGAGAAATATCTCTCACAAATTCCTTAATCTCGATCAGTATTAATAATCTATTTTCCATCAAGGAGGTGAATTTCATTTTGATACATACAACTATGCAACTTAATCCCAAATATGATGACTCCATTACAAGCAGTGGCTATTCCCCGCCTGCTCTCACACTTGCACAAACGTATGGCTTCAGACTTGTGATTTGCACTTTGCTGCTATGTTTTCCTTGGACTATATCAGTTCCTGAGCTGGGGAAGGGTGAGAGTCTAAATGGGGTTGAGATTCAATGCAAAACTCTCTTTACCCCCAAGTCTAGAATAAGGAATAAAGACCTGCAATAATATATATGTGTTGACAACTCAAGCATTTATATATATATATATATATATATATATATGTTACTCATAAAATCCATATCTATGTCATAAAGCATAAATATATACAGATACAAACATAAAAGCATAATTGCCAGAGTGGTGCGTTTATTGCTCTATACTATACTCTATACTGTAGGTAGCAGCACCAAGGCACACAAGGCTTTTGCATATTATGGCATCAAATTTACATAAAACTTCCCTTCTATGTTTTTAATTACTTCAACCTTGATATTTTCTTCTTTGATTCCCCCTCAATTTCAGAAGTAGATTGAATTTGGCAGAATCTTCAATGACCTGCACCCATCACCAAACCAAGGAAAAATCAGCTTGACAGCTTCCACATTTGCATACCAAAGTGTGCAGAGATGGGAAAGATCAATCCAAGTAGGGAAAATGAAGGCTAAAGTTGCGGGTCGCAACATTGTAAAGTTCCAACCTTGGCTTTTGCCAGAAGGATCTCTAAGAGTTCATATGGATACAATGAGTTAGATCTCTCCTGAATGGACTTAACAGCATAATTTGCTGCATTTTGGACCTCGACATCATTTGTTGACACCATTTTCCATCCTGATCCATGACCATCTGATTTGTGTAATGCGCCTGATTAATCACTATTTTTTGCATCTAAACTAACTACCACTTAGTAACACACTTTTGAGCAAAAATAAAACAAGGGACTCTGCATTTCACTGAGATTGGACTGAGCCAATCCTATGTAAAGAAGAACTGGCCAATCTAAAATGAAAGATAGCATCTGTTAGGTCTACGTTGGTCTCCTAGTTTTAGAGACCGGAGTAGACCTAACAACATCATACTGAAAAATGAAAACATAATAAGAAAACCTCACATGCCAATTCCAGTCTCATTACAACCATCAACAGAAAAAATTCAAGCACAGCCAATTGCTTATACATAAAAGGACCCGTTACCTTGTTTAACGCCGAGGTCAGAGGATGTACCCCCTTCAACATGCTTGAATTCCTGCAACTGCTTGAAGTTCATCCATGGCTTCACCCAGACTTTAACTTCATATATCTTCTTATTACCAGCGTCATTCGCCTCTAGAGTAAGGTGGTATAGCTTACCAGCAACCACCTGCTCTTTGGCCTTCACCACCCTCACAAACTCAAGAAGAGCATTCTGTAGACAATATCCAAGGTAAATACTAAAGATGCTAGGACCTTGCCGAAAAAGATACATCAAATACAATAAGCAGGAAGACAAGTAAATTATCACTGTTATTTTCTGAGAATTCTTTTAATTTTCAAAATTGAATCCGTTTCGCACACAGAAGAAAGGACTCAAGAACACAGCTTATGCACGAGGGTTTCACAGAAGAATTGTGAACGCTTGAGAGAATAGCCCTTCAAGCAAATATATAGTTTAAAAATTATACATTTTGTTGAAATTACTAAAAAAATTCATCTATGCTATCTTTATTTCTAAAATCATGAGTCAAATGTCAATCATCCTGTTCTGTTATCAAATATTTCATAGGAAAAAAAAAACCTGAATTATGAACAAAAAATCATTTATATATTAAAAAAAAAAACAAAGTAGAAAAATAAATCAAACAAATAAAGACTAAATTAACACATAAATCACCCCGTAAGAAAAGGAAAAATCAATAGTAAATTTAATCAGAAACCATATCCAATCTAAGCAAATTTTTCTATGATCCCTCTCGAATCATTATCATATAAAAACAAAAATAAAACAAGAAAATCAAGAATTTCAGCAATAAAAAGTGAAAAAAGATCAAGAGAAGAAAAGACCTCTTTCGTGTTATGTTCTTGGACAGCAAAACGAGCAAGGCTATCAATCTCTCCAATATTTTGAGAACCCTTACAATCATGAACACCACCAAGCTTCATCTTCAAGAAGTTGTCTTGTCTACAAAGACCAAGTTCAGTATAACACCCACAAAGCAAAACCAAAACACTCAAGATTAGTAAGGATAATTTATTCGTCTTCGTCTTCGTCTTCTTCTTTGTCGTCGTCGTCGTCTTCGTCAAACAAAAGAGATTTACTCGATTCTCTGTGCCTGTTTGTCCAAGAATAAATTTTCGCCGACAGCTACGTGATTTGTGGTGGTGTTTTTGAAAATTAGTTGATCACTTCCTTCGCTCCTAAGGATTGGGTTTAAAGGGCTACGCCCAAGAGTGAAGATTAGGAAAGAGTCCACGTTGAATGCAAACCACCCCAAATATGGATGGGCTTAGAGACTAAAAAGCTAAAAGTTGCATAGGGATTCGTATTTAAATTATTGTTTTAGAGCTCCTACAGACTGCTAGATCAATCCAGAATTTTATTATCCGACTGGTATAAATTAAAAAAAAATAGTTAATTTATTTAACAATTAGAATTATCCGACTGGTATAAATTAAAAAAAAAAATTAGTTAATTTATTTAACAATTAGGATGATTCAGTGAACTAAAGTTTATATTTAATATTTTATGTAGTGTATAAATTTAAAAAATTATTTAACTAGTAAACTTCCTAGTGGTAGTGAGCTTCTTATTGATTACATATTAATTGTAATCAATATTGTTAAAATCATAAAATAATTTAATTTTATGAATTAGCATATTATTAATGTATTGAATTGGTTTAAAAACTTGAAAAATAATAAAATTAAGATGAAAACATGTAAAATTATAATTTTAAAATTGTGATTGCAAGTTTAAAATCTTATTTAAAGATAAGTTTGAATATATTTTTTTATTCAAATTTAATGTTTTTAAATTAAAATTTCTAATATTTTGAATTGTTTTAATATGTTAATTAAAAATAAATTTTAAAAAATAAAAAATTATTTTAATATATTTTTAAACAAAAAATATTAATTAAAAAATAATATCAATCAATTTTACCTTGAATAAAGTCATTCCACAATAAACCGTCATTTCATCACATATAATTTTCACCTATAACCCTTTTTTTTAACTCACCCATTAGTTACAACAACCTCTCTACTCTTTATTAACTTTTATTTCTAAAAGTAATTTAAAAAGCTTTACTTAATTGAATAAAAAAAACTAAAATCTTTGTTTTTTATTTAAGATTTTAGTCTAAAAATTCATTTTAATTAGAATTAAAAATTTTACTTTGAACTTGATCAATTTAAAATCTCAATCTAATAATCTCTTTTAATTAAAATCAAAACTTTTATTTATAAATTAGATCAACTTAAAATCTCAATCCTATAATTTTCTTTAACTACAATTAAAATCTATCTCAAGTCAATCAACTTTAGATTCCAATCTAATAATCTTTTTTAATGAATAAAAATCTATTTTTAATTTGGTCAACCTGAAATTTCAATCTAGTAATTTTTTTAACCAAAATCAAAATTTATTTTCAGCTTAATTAATCTAAAATTCCAATCCAGCAATCATCTTTAACTAAAACTAAAATTTTATAATTATTATAAAAATTATATTTTTATGGCTATTCTATAATGTAATTTTTTCTTGGTAGAGTCTTGTCATCTCAATGACTTATGTTTCAACTAATTGACTTAAAATTTTAAATTTCAATAATATTTTTAACTTGTCATCTCAATGACTTATGTTTTCAACTAATTTACTTAAAATCTTGAATTTCAATAATTTTTTTAAATTAGAGCCTTTTCAAGTATCTTAATTATTTTGACTAAATTCAATTATAATTGTAAGTTGAAAATTAGCGGTAAGGTTGATTTTTTTTAATTCAATTATAATTGTAAGTTGAAAATTAAAATTTTTAGCGGTAAGGTTGATTTTTTTTTTATTTTTAAGAATTTTCTAATAATAAAATATTTTTTTCCTTGCCTTCACAGAAACAAATCTCTTCCATTAGAATTAGGGTATCACATTTACTAATAGCAAACACTTATTCCACCTCGTATTTCTTACACATTAACATATAATTTTATAAAATCACTATCCAATTCTTCATTTCCTTCGATTTCTTTCTTAGCCAGTCTTAAATAAATTAATTATCTAATGATTTATTTTAATTTTTTCTATTCACATTCCCATCATCATAATAATAGAATTTAAACATGACAACATCATTAAAATATTTATATTTCTCAATCTTACAACTTTTTTCTATATTTTTCTTTTACTAGCTTTTTTTTAATTTCACATTTCAACATTCATACACAAACATCAGAATTTCAAAACATTATTAAAATAATAAAATCAACCCAATTTATTGCAATTCTCAATTCTTCTAAAACACCTAACATGATTTTTAATCAAGTTTCTACTTAAATTTATTATTATTCATATCAAACAACTAACAATTCATCAAAACAATCATTCTCCTAAAAATTTACATAAACCTTAAAATTGAATTTTTGGGATTTTCTTCCTTCTTACACCTTAAACTACTAAAACAAAGAAAAAGATTGTAGAAAATGTCTTGCCAATCAAATCTCTCTCTCTCAAAATGTTTCTTTCCTCTCTTTTTTCCAGTTGTACCGTCGGCTTCAAATAGGAAGAAAGATAGAGAATTTTCAGCAAGTTACAAAATTGGCTCTCATTTATTAACCCATGGTTTTGTTC